TCAGTCCCTCATCGACCTCAGCACACAAAGAAAGGAAAAAACACAAAAAAGACAAGGTCACAGTGTGAGATCTCCACCTCACGGCAGCTGCAAACCCCTCCCACAAGAGGCTGGGGGTACATAGAGTTAGGGGTGACTCAGGTGCACTTTAGTGAATACATAAAGGCACATTCTCATGTAATAGAAAAACATTAAGCAAATAAGCACCTTAATGCTGCAGAATGTTAACATCACATATGAAAACACAATAGTCATGCAGGTCATAACACCAGGTCTAGCACATCTACTTTGGTTCATCTAAGTGGTGCTTCCCATTGTCATATCTGTTAAGATGTAGGTGTTAGCTATGATCATACACCCACTCACCCCACCTTGGTCAACCTTGGTCATGAATGGACAGTTTGGCAAAGAAATTCATAGGACTTCTCTCAGTTGAAGAACATGAGTCAAAACAACCACAGAAATAAAGAACCTGGCCAAAGGAACCTTAATCATCGAAGAGGAGCTGTAGCTGTAGCTGTAACTGTAGAGAGCCAAGGATCAGGAAATGACTCGCCGTAGCATCTGTAGTCACTGGCAGAACAAGGACGATGCAGGTCAAGCAGTACAGTGAGACAGCTTGCCACAGACAAACATGTCATCTAAATGAGGACGGTTGTGCCAACTCCGTGTTAGAGAGGAAAAGAGCGCTTTCAGAAACTGCTGAAGCGGCAAGGTAACAACCCAGAATGCAGCTCTCGATTTTCCGGTCTGGGTAAAGGTACTTCTGTTGTACGCCTAAGTGAGATGCCAGGATTTCCTTAATAGGCATGGCATTCAGTTCTGCCGTGTTTTATTGAAGGTAAATAAAACACAGGCAGGTTTTGCTGTCATGTTAAAGCTTCCAAAACAAGCTCCTGTATACTTGTCTCCATCGCTGTTCAACTTCGGTTTACGTGTAGCTTTAAAATCATAATGAATGAGACAGACATCAGTCTCAGACATCAACAATAAAGTGGAACAAAAGCCCTGATCAGATTGATAAGGAGTCTCCCCTCCCCCACACTGTAAGGACCTGTCTCAGAGCAATCTCTGCTTACAGTAAACACATCCATCAAACTTCAAATGGAAACAAAACTCAACGGGGGCAGTTTCCTGTTTTAATATCAAGGTCCCATGAAACAAAGAGATCTATTGGCTAATTTATTCATTTGCTTGGCAGGGTACAGTTTTTAAACCTTTAAAGCTTTATTTGAGAATCATTATACGGTCCCTTGTGCAAACACACACAGAATAGCACATTTCTTATGCGCTGTCAAGCAGAAACACATGCGATGTAATGATATTCAGAACAGCACAGATAAATCATGCAGCCTTTAATCAAACTGTGATGGCATAGAATGTGATCAATCACAGGCCGCAACGGTGAAAACTGCCCCCCGCAGCCACTCGCTGTTCCCACCTGCCTGGCAGATGCCCTAGATGGACACAGGTGACGCTGCTTGAAGTCAACATCAGGAAGTGGTTCCGTTTCCCACTAGGTGGCGTACAGGACACCGGGGCTCAGATATGTGTGGGATAGGAGTTCCCAGTTCACTCCCCAGAAACTGAATGGGTGATAATTGAGGACTGGTAAGATGGGAAAACATCTCCATGTGTCACTGTCTGGCATGAAAACTTACATATTCAACCATTTCAGGTTTGATATCTCTTGCTAAAAATTGATTCGATTTTTTCAGAAATGTGGAACTTTTGTGATTTTATTCCTGCCGACTCAAGACCGTAGCCATAGAGGCAACATTGGGAGGGAACAAAGCAGTAGTAATATACTGCTTATATACTGTATATTATATTGGGGGGGGACATTGTGAGCACATCATGAATACTAGGGGGGACGTGTTCCCCACAATATATAATTACGGCCTTGTGTGGACTATGGCCAGTAGGTTTAATTTTACATGTCGCCAGTGACTCGTGGGAAATTTTAGAGTATAACAGTGAAAGGCTGATGCAGGTCACAGCTTTCTGCATGAAGAGCCTGGATTGTGGCGTCAAGAAGGAAGATGGGAATCTAATGAGTAGCACCTTCGAGAAACCAACACATTCACATGAGCATATGCAACGCCTGCTTTAAGTAGAGACACGGAGCTCCCTCTTTGCTTACCATGCAGTCCTCCGTATGCCTCAGCGTGCCAGTCTGAAGGTGTCTTTTAATGACATATTAATTAGCGTTGGATGCCATGCTTTTTGCTAGCCCTGGGGGTAAATATGCTGACGTGAAGAGAAAAAGGAAAGAGTGTGAAAAACAGCCGGTGAAGGTGGGAATGAAGCAGTGAGGGGAGCATGGCACCAGGAAGCAATCCTCACTGGCTGTCACATGAAAGAAAACTTCATTAGGAAGAAGAAAACAATTCCCCTTCTCAGAGCTTTCTGTAAATACGTGCACACACATCCAGGCAGCGATGAGCTAAAAATGCACATATAAATTAGCACTCCAAATCCTTCAGCATATAATTAGTTTTGAATGGTCACAAAATGCCTTTGTTGTGCGTAAATTCATTGAATTTTTTTGGTGACCTTTAAGGAAATAACAATTGACAATTTCCCTTAATGGGACAGGGGATGTGGAGCAGACATAAAGAAGGTCTGGTGTTCAGACACGGTGTTTTTAATGACAATTGCCCTTCACAGATAAGGTGGGTCACCCAGGAAGAGGCTCAGAGCCAGGGATCCATGTGATGAAGTCGGCTGTCGATGAAGCTGACATCACATTTCAGTGGCAGGGCCTTTTTGGGACGCAAGCGCATACACACACACACACACACACCACACACACACACTTTCTCCAACTACCTAAAGCCTAATTAATGGTAAATTGATGACACAAGGATGCACATTCCCAATGACCTCTACTGTATCTTTCTGAGCAGGGAGTACAAGGTTTTTACTGAAAACGAAGATCAATTTTAATTAGGACAAAGACATGTATTATCATAAAGAAAATTGTAGGGAGTATTAAAATATGTGACATCTCACCATTACTAAAGCTTTTAACACTTAGGTCATCCAACCTTGTGTAATAAATACAGCAACAACCTCAGGAGCACCTCTTGTAATTTGATCCGTATTTGTGATATATCAGGTATTTTTTTACTGCTGGCTACTGCCATCTATTGGAATTGAGGTGCATTTGCAATTTATAGTTGTGCAGAAAGTCACAGAATGCCATAATTAAACTGCTGAAATCTGAACAACTCAGGGATTAAATTATTTTTACTGCATGGGGTTTATAGTAAATAATCCTCTGCATATTCACTTCCCAGTTTAAAAGTGCTCTGAAAACTATTCCTTGGTGTGCAGATAACTGGAAATCTGGACTGGTCACCAAACACAACTTCATTGGTAAAACGCGCTCAGCAGCGGTTGCATTTCCTGCGCAGAGAGCACACCTTTCCTCTCCCATCCTCACCACTTTCTACCAAGGCACCATAGAGAGCCTACTGACCAGCTGTATCTCCATCTAGTTTGGCAGCTCAAAATCCTCAGACAGAAAATCGCTGCAGAGAGGATCATCGGGACTTCTCTTCCATCCATCCAGGACATTGCACCCAAACGCTGTCTGAGCAGAGCCCGTAACATCGCCAGGAACTCCGCCCACCCCCACCTCGGACTGTTCTCCCTGCTGCCCTCTGGGAAGAGGCTTTGCAGCATCAGGACGGGAACAGCCAGATTCTGTAACAGCTTCATTCCTCAAGCCATTAGACTCCTGAACCCTTAACTCATGACAGCCCCCTCCCCAACCCCCTCCCCACACTCTGCCTGTCTCCATCCATGCACGTCACTTTTTCAAGAACTTTATGCACTAAATGTCTTGCTCTATAACCGATACAGTGATGTACACTGTTTTTTTTGCTGCTATACTGCGGTTAATATATCTGCATGTTAGTTCCACTTATATTCTATTTTCTATTTATATATATATATATTTTTTTACCGATGGTGAGCAAAAATGCAACGAAATTTCGTTCTGATGTGCACTAACCGGTGTATTTCTGAATGACGATAAAAGTGGCCATTCTATTAACTTTTTGCACTTTGAGCAAGTTCATCCTCTTACTGATAATAAGATTATGGTCTCATTCAGATGCAGTTTATCTACATATGAGCAACTCTAGTGGTATTTTCTTCAAGTCTGAATAAGCTATTTTTCTCTGAGACATTTCTGTAGGCAATCACTTAGAATATTACTTTTTCATACCTCAAAAAGAAGCCCTCTGTTATCCAGCACTTTACATCTCTATGGTAATAATGGATTATATTGAAGAATCTTGGCCAACATGGTCCTTCTGGAGGTCCAGGAGGATCTACTAGACTAGCAGCAAAATATAGGATTTAATTAAGTGCAATAATATTATGCCTATAATAACTGCAGCAACTTTATTATGAAGTGCATCTTATGTTTTCATTTACCCACATTTTAATGCCTCATTTCATTATACAGCCACAACTGGAGAGTCAAGGCCCAGGCTCTCGGTAAACTTTCGGCCTTCATCTCCTTGAAGTGCCAGAGAGAACAAAAAAAACTTCATCAATCCATTGATAAGCTGTAGAAAAGTGAGGCCAGAGGGCCGTGCCTCGGTGTGCAGGAGCCGAGGCAGCGGCCAGCCAGGGCCACCCGCGGACCCGCTAACGACCCTCCCGCCTGCACAGCTCCTGTTATTAAATGTGCAGGATAACTCCTCCATTAACTTTCCCATTAAGGAGGACTGACTTTAAGTCTAATGACATTTTACTGCTCAAAATTTAATGAGGCATTTACATGCACTGCTAATACAAATGTATAAGTAAGAATCACAGACCATTCCGTATGCATTATTTACTAAAAATCTCAGAACCTCGAAGTAGCTTAATCGCTTGAAAAAAACTAAAAAATATTGAATTCAAATCTAACCTGATGTCCTCAGTTAAGTATACCGATAAATACGCATCTCCAACGCCAGAAAAAGGTCCACGCATACGGGTGTGGTTAACAACACAATTTTAATAGTCAACATAAAGTAAATGACGATCATAGATCCATTACACCCCCATTAACGAAGCCAAAGAGCCCCCATGACTAGGCTGTAGGTGTGTGTGAGTGTGTAAAGCACAGGGTGGAGTTCTCCCCAATGACAGGAATTCTGCCATGCTTGCTGGTTCCCTATGACCACACACTCCTGGTTCATTGACACGTGACGCCCCCAGTGTCCGTTCCAGAATTCCCTTAAGTGGAATGTTTGTAAAAGGAAAGCATGTCATCTAGGCTCTTAGTCGGGGCCTCTGGGGGATCCCGAGCTGGGCTCTGTGACTGAGCAGTGCTGCTCTGGGACCACGGCCGGCAGAAGGGGGCCTTCTGTGGGTTCCAGTCTGACCCACTCCTTGCCGCCCCCCTGTCACTGAAGTATGCGGTGGGAGGGGCAAACTCCTGCTCCCGCTCCTCCCGCCGCCGGTTGGTCCAGTTGCCGAAGGAAACTGAGAAGAGATGAGACAGTCAAAGGCTTCAGTCAGTGCACACAATGACTTCAGATCGTGGGCATTCAACTGCCAGCAGGGGGCTCCACTCATCACTCTTTACAGCTTAACGGGCAGGTGAAGCCACACTACCTTTTCCCCGATCCCATTCCCGAACGTGGGGCACGCCGGGCTTCGTGTCCCTCCTCTCCTGGATCTCCACCACCACCTTATTTAGCCCAGAGGGCACAGGAGCAGGCAGATCACGAGGGGGTCCAGGGGGTCCTTCAGCTGAAGGCTTGGGTCCAATTATCTCTCCCTCAGATTTGCCTGAAAAACAGGATTCATTGTGGAATCAAATATTATCAAGTAAAGAATGTGGATACCAGGACTATCACATACAGTGGGGCATTCTGGGATTATCATTCATGCAGTGGGGCATTCTGGGATTATCATTCATGCAGTGGGGCATTCTGGGATTATCATTCATGCAGTGGGGCAATCTGGGATTATCATTCATGCAGTGGGGCAATCTGGGATTACTACACACACTGAACTATTCCTAAAAGGAACTGGATAGCTAAATTAGCTTTTAGCGTTACCTTCTTTTGCCCCATCTTCTGTCTCTGTGCCATCCAGCTTCATAATCTTCCTCTGCCTCACCTTAGCCAGCCGGGACTGAAGTAAATTTTTCCTTTTGTCTTTGAGTTTCTCCCTCTTGGTACGCTGATCTGTGGTCTGTGGGGAAAGCAGATCTTTGAGAAGGCTGGTGGCATGCACACGCACACTCACACGCACGCGCACACACACACACGTATGGTCTCTGCAGAAATCCTGATGTGAAATTTAAAACTTCAAGCCAAATTTAAGACCAAACTGTACGCAGAAATATGCTTTACCAGAATCAATACCCATACATTTACACTACAGTGACTACACCCACTGTCAATTCAAGTTTGTAATAAAAATTGTCTATCGATCGATGTGTGAATAATAAATCAAATTTACAATGCAAGGATCACGTACGGGGTGCTTCAATCCCCCATCCAAGAAACTTCATTCAAAACAGAGGAACACTGGACTCAGATTATTGTCCCATTCTCCAATATTACGAGCATATAAAGCGGCAGATGTAACAGATTCTTGAATATCTGAATTCACACTGCTGCTTCAAAGATGTCTTAGACACGATACCTAGCTAACGTGTGTCCTGATAGCTGCTGCAGCCCATGCTACTTCTAGCACCAACTGTTGAACTTCCACTTCCACAAATAAAAATAAAAAAGTTAACTATCAAACATAAAACCTAAGGGGTATACTACAAAGTGAGATTAACATGCATCCTTCAAAACCCATTTGATGTTCCATCACTCACACACACAGAGTGGACATGTGGCCGGGAACAAGACAAAGGTGTTGACATATTTTAGAACAACACCCATGCTCATTTATAATTACACCAATCAGAGAGCGAAGGGTAGAACATGTCAACATGGCGCGGCCAAGTCGACGCCTTCCTGATCGCTCCGCTTACATCGGTGGTCATGAAGGTTTTTGAGAGACTCATTAAAGACCATATTATTGCCTCCATCCCCACGCTCCACAGACCCAATCCAGTTCGCCTATCGCCCCAATCGATCCACAGATGATGCCATCTCCCACGTTCTGCACACCACCCTCAGCCACGTGGACAAGAAGCAAGGGAACTATGTAAGACTGTTGTTCATTGACTACAGCTCAGCGTTCAACACCATAGTCCCTCATAGACTGTCTACTAAGCTGCGGGAGCTAGGACTGAGCAGCCACCTGTGCGCCTGGATCCACAACTTCCTCACAGACAGACCACAGGTGGTGAGAGTAGGTGGCTGTGTCTCCAACTCCATCACACTTAACACAGGTGCACCTCAAGGATGCGTTCTCAGTCCACTGCTCTATACGCTCTACACGAGAGACTGTGAGGCCATACACAGCTCCAACTCCATTATCAAATTTGCTGACGACACAGTAGTGGTGGGCCTCATCTCCAACGACGACGAGGCAGCCTACAAGGAGAAGGTGGACAACCTGACATCATGGTGCCAGGAGAACTGCCTCCAACTCAACGTCAGCAAGACCAAGGAGCTGGTGGTGGACTTCAGCAGGAGGATGGAGCGCTCCTACTCCCCCCCCCTACATCAACGGGGCTGCAGTGGAGCGAGTGAGAGGTTTCAGATACCTGGGCGTTCGCATCACTGAGGACCTGACATGGACAGAACACATCCAGAGCCAGTGCAGCAAGGTGAGGCAGCGTCTCTACCACCTGAGACAGCTGAGGAAGTTTCGCGTATCTCCTGGGATCCTGAAGTCGTTCTACTCCAGTGCAGTGGAAAATGTCCTGACCCAGAACATCACGTCCTGGTATGGAAATAGTCGTGTCCAGGACTTAAAGGGACTGCAGAGGGTGATTCGGGCAGCAGAGTGCTGCACCAGATCTGATCTACAGTCTCTGCAGGACATGTACACCAGGAGATGCCGGAGCAGAACAATTAGGATAATCAAAGACTCGTCTCACCCCAGTAACTGTCTTTTCAAGCAGCAAAAACAGAGAGACTCAGGAGGAGCTTCTGTCCTCATGCCGTAAGACTTCTCAACCAGGACATGAAACCACTACCTCTTAAATATTATACAGCGGATGCATAAACTGCCATCTACTTATCAAGGCAAACTTCACTGCACACTGCACTTTAAATACATTACTTATTTCTGTTCACTGTATATTGCACAACAATCATCTCATGCGTCACCACTTTACACTTTTTTTTGTTTATAATAATGAATTTAATATATAGATAGAATTAATTTGTCTGCATTTTTTATATTGTCTGCACTTTTTATATTTTAAGCTATTGTAAATTGTAATTTAAAATTCTTGTTTACTCTTTGGATCGGTGAGGGTTAATTTCACTACATGTTGTACTTGTTATAACTATGTATGTGACGAATAAAGAATCTTGAATGAATGGACTAATAACTATAAAACTAAATGAGACAGACGTACAGCAGAGTGTGGTTTAAGTAATGGACAATGGGGGACAATGCACACCACTTGATTTTTGATTATGCATTTCTATAAGTCTTTATTGATAATTGTACTGTTTCCATTCACCACGAGTGCCCAAACGCGAACTATTCAACGAGAAGCGCACATGCGAACATTCTAATTTCAATTCAAATTTGCCCATAAAGCAATATGAAAATAAAATGGGTGTTGCAACAGTCATCGTGACAGCAGAGATTGCCTCTTTTGGAGATAGACAAGATTTAGCACACACAGCGAAAGAGCTCAAAACACAAAAATGATCAGTTACGAAATGACTCTGTAGTATACTCCTTAACAGTCAGTCACATTTAAACTTAAATGATTTTTTTTTTTAACGGCAGATTAATATACGGTGCTCCCCCCTTGTCCCCGGGAAGTACGTTCCAACAGCCCCGGCGGATACCTGAAACCACGGATAGTACCAAACCCTATATCAACGCCATGTTTTTTCCCCCCCAATATATACATACCTATGATAAAGTTTATTTTATAAATTATGGATACTTTAGAGATTACCAACAGTAAAACATTGAAAACAATACACTGTTAACAATAAAACAATAAAAGTTACGTGAAAGTGGTCTCTCTTGTGCTGTATTCTTCAGAAGTATTGTTTTTTTTTAACTATTTTATTAAAAAAAAACTGTTACTTAAACACAAGCATTGCCATACCACAATAGGCGATCTGATAACCGAGACGGCGACTCAGGGACTGGCAGGTAGCATATACTACGTGGATAACCTGGACAAAGGGATGATTCACATTCTGCATGGTGCGAGATTCCAATATACTACTCAGAATGGCATGCAATTTAAAACTCGTGAACTATTTCTGCAATTTTCCATGTAACATTTACGGACCACAGGTAACCAAAACCACTGAAAAGGGGGGGCCACTGTGAATGTTTATGACCGCAAAAAAATTAAGATCTATTAATTAAGAACTTTAATTTAAGACTTTATAAGAATTTTCAAGGCCTTATTGGACCAACCTGAACTTAAGACATTTGAAGACTTTTTATTGTCCTGCAGACACCTCACTCACTCACTCACACACACACACACACACACACACACACACACACACACACACACACACACACACAAGGCCTGTGACAAATGAATAGACGCATCACTGCACAGCCAACTGGAGAGACTCACCTGGTCCCTCAGCATATCCAGTGTGTCCCTCTGCTTCTTGCGGAGGGCTTCATCCTTTGCGAAGGCATAGTAACCCACGCCAAGATCCCGAGCCTCTGTCACACACAGACGCAGGAGCCTTAGCACGCAGGTAACCCTCTGACTAATCACTTACATTACGATTACAGAAGTCCCTGCTGCACTGCGTGCTGCTCAGCTAATGGAAACAATTTCTGTGAATTATCTTGTGTCCCCTTAAAAAAAAATACATATCCCTTTCATTTTGTTCTCCTTTAAATGACTACAAAGTCCTTTAAACAAACATGCGTAGCATATGATGCCCGTTCTAAAATAAAGCATCCTAATCAATCTTCCGGTCAGACTCACCTTGGTCTCGGACATTCTCATAGTGCACAGGTCCAACTGGTCTCTTCATCGCCTCCTCTTCCTCCTGCTCCCACTGCTGTCGCTGCAGCTCCCTGCGCATGTCTTCTGACAGCAGTGTCTTCTCACCAGGCTTCTCAAACCTGCCACCAGTACGGAGACATTTAACAACCCTCTATCTACTGTGCTGCTGAAGAACATATTGAGATGTCCAAATATCTAAGAAGTTCTGTCAGAAGAAAACTGCGGATAGGAGTGCCTTCTTCTGTTTACCTCTTGCCATGAAGGTCTTGGTCAAGTTTTTGGTACTCTGGCAGATCTTTCTTCATACATCTACGAGATCGACCAAGGGCATCAACATAATCCACCCTACAAAAAATGGAGACCCAGAGTGCCATTTGTACTCACAGGGCTGCCATTATGAGCAGTATTTAAACAGAAGGTGACAATCCCACTCGCTAATGCACTTACCATTCCTCATCCGGGTGACTAGCTAGAGGAATGGGCCCAAGAGTTTCACAGTTCCCCCCTCCATCGCTGTCAGAATCGTCTGTCGTCTTGGGCTGCACCTGCAGGGCCTTCTTCTGATCGATAATCTTTTGGGTGAAATCCACCAGGAACTGACTCTCTGTCTCCTCATCTAATGAGCAGAACAGCAGCAAGCTTAGGTGACTACTCATATATGATGACTCCATAGTTTTTAACTACATTTATGGCATTGGTATTGTACAGTATAAAGAATCCTTCAATATAGTGTATTTGTGACCATTCTGCTGTAGTGATAAACAGCAATTATGGCTTGCATACCTGGGAAGTCTCCTTTACTCATCTGTTCATACAGCCGGGTCTTTTCCTCCAGCTTGCACCTGTTGGAGCACACTTTGCTTACTCACAATCCCGATACTGACATAGAAGCAGTAAGAAAACACAATCATGGCAAGTGCCAACACCAGGGGCTTGCTTCACAAAGCAGGATTTCTTGCTTAGCCAGATAACTTGTCAGGTTTAAGGTAGTCCAGACTCAATGTAAGTGAACGAAGATAAAGTCAATTTACCCCAGACTACTTTAAATCAGACAAGTTTTCTGGCTAACCAGGAAATCCTGCTTTGTGGAACAGGTCCCAGATGTAGTCTGAATGTGTACTATGAAGGTCTTTCACCAATACAATGAGCAAACACGGACCTTGATTTTTCAAGGCTATCCTCCTCTTCAGTCGCCTGCTCCACATCCTTCTGGGCTCGTATGGATACGCCCTCATTCTGCTTGTTCCAGATGATGGGCTTCTGCAAAAAATATATATATAAAAAAGACCCAGTATCTTGCAATCAGTCCAGACATTTAAGTAAGTTAAGTTTACTAAAGTTCTAAGATTTAAGGTACTACAAATTCCACTTCACAGTGTTAACATTTTAAGGATTATTGTTCTTGGGGAAATACAAGAGTCTGACACTTATAATTTATAAATTCATATAATCAGTAGAAAAACAACAGAAATCCAGCGGCTTTGTGGCTTGGACCCCAAATTTCAAGTTTCTGAAAGTATCATCCAAAATCATCTTTATAACTGATTTTAACTTTTTGACAAGTCTGTTCATACACACCTTGAGTTTGGATTTTGGTTTCTTCTCCACTGAATCAAATGTCAACTTTTCATGCCTAAACTCCTCTTGTTTCCGGTAGAGCTCAGCTTTGAGATCAACCAGCTGAAGAAAACAGAAACCCGGCAGGGAGTCAGAATAGTTTAAAAGATTGAAGAAGAAGAAGAAGAAGAAGAAGAAGAAGAAGAAGAAGCTTTATTTGTCATTACATAAAATACATGGTATCAATGACAGGCCGAAACAAACAAACAAACAAACAAACAAACAAAAAAAGTCAGAAACAAAGGCAGAAACAGAACAGAGAGAGAGAGACACACATAAAGAGTAAGAGACGGAATCAAGGGATAGAAGGAGAGAGATAAACTGTCAGAGACAAGAGTGAAACACAAGGCAATCGGACTGGCTAACTCGCGAAATGCACCTCCGAATAAAACAAAACTTACGGACGCAGCGGTCACGTCATACTGCTTTTTCTTTTTATCCATCTGTGCTGATTCGTGTAGGACGTTATTCACAAATAACACGGCTATTAAAAGATAATATTTCTGACTGCCTAGCTCTGGGTTAGAGAGTCAGCCATTGTTGTGACGTCACTAAGCACACCCTAAATAAACGCTACTGCCGCACGGTGTTGGGGAGGACCATTGTTTATTATTATTATTATTAGGGGTCCAGGACATGCAAATGCGCACAAACACTACAGGCATTTTCTTTTGTTCATATCTGATTGCTGAAATTGAATCTGCCATAATACACAAAATCTGAAAATACTACTACTTATGAATTTAAATTTTGTTATAGCACAAAATATAACATGGTGGCTTTGTGGATAGCACTGTTAAATTGCACCATATTTTGTAGACGTTTTTCCCACGTTTCCTGCAGCTACTCTGGTTTAACCCCAATGTCAAAACATATGCATTAAGTTGGATTAGAGTCTCTAAATCACCCACAGTGTGTGCCCATGTGTGCCCCGTAACAAACTGGCATCCCAGACAGTGTAGACCCTGCCATGTACCCTGTACCTCGTAAGAGAGACTCCAGGCTCCCTGTCATCTTGTACCACTTAAGTATTTGGAAGATGAATAGGAAGCACAAGTTAATGGCTTAGATTTAAACATATCAGTGGAAATTAAAGCCTTTCAAAAGCTTTGACAATCAGTGGTTGTTTAAAGCCAGCAGTCCATCCTGGATGTTCCCACACCTCGTGTCCTGTGCTTAATGGGGTAAGTTTCAGACTTACCATGACCCTTTGCTGGATAAGTGGCATGTGATATGGATGGATATGTGTTTTTGTAGGTAGGAATGGGTGACCAACCAATGACTGCAAATGTACATAATTCCAGTAGGTGGCAGTGTTACAAAAAAAATCAGATGATCCAGATCTCTCAGGTATTCATTCCTACACACAAACCATAAGAGATGAAAGATACTGGGTTGCTTAAAGCTGCCTATGGATATATTTTGTAAACAAAGTGGTGACCTCAGATTTAATCAAAAGATTCCTTAAGAACAACATATTTGTACATGATGAAAGAAACAAAATGCTTTGGTGAAACAAGGTGCTGTCTTGTTTCTCTCTGTTCATAAACTTTACATAATTTATAGAGGCAACTTCAGCCTGAAAATGGACGAAGAAATCATTTGAACTCAAAGACCTCTTCCTACATTTTGTATTTAGCATTTTTGTGTCTGAATATAAAAATTTGGCTTTGCATTAGCTAGCTCAAACAGAAGAACACCAGGTGAGAATAACAGAAATTCTCAATGAGACTGTCCTAGTACAAGCCATTATACAGTCTGGTAGTGCATCATTTATACTATAACAGCAGATGTGTTAAAATCACAGCAGTCAAATCACTTAAAAATGCACATAGTACTTACTATAGTCTAATTTAACCCTGCTGTCCAAAGACATTCAGAGCTTGCTTACATCTCAGTAGTTTTTACATCACATCAGTAGCATATCCAATCTACTATGCACTGCCAATAAAGATATTTCAAAACTGTAGTCTGACTACCATCCAGGGATGGTAAGATTTGTCAAAGGGGGAAGGTAGTGTCTTAACAGGGGCGGGGTGATTTTAAACACATTAAGCCCAAGTATCTCAGCAAATGCAAATCAAATTCCACAATCCGGGGATGTACTGAAAGACATGAGCATGATCATTCAGAATGGTTTACTGTAACACCATCTAACACATTTCCTAACTCCAAAAAAATACTGTATTCCAGAAATATATACAAATATAAGCGGAAAATTCACAGGTTTTGGTATCCATTTTGTTTAGTGTAAAAGAAAAAAAAACGATTAAAAATAAATTAATTTATGCTAATTAAAAAATTAATTGCACTAGTCTCCGTGATGGGTGAATAGGACTAAGCTGTGCCTTTTACTTTTAATGAAGGAGACTTGACAACATTAAGACAAGTAGTATATACATGTCTGCATATGGTACATATAATGCATAATAAAGCATATCTATCATCGCATCTCAGTCCCTGTCCCATGTCTTTCACATTTCCAATATCTCTCCAGCACCGCAGTAACCTCTCTTATTGTTTATTTATTGCATATAGAGCTGCACAAAGCCAACATCAAGTCTGCTGCATCTCCCTGCCCTGGCGAAGCTGCTGCTCCAACCTCCAGGAGATCCGCTGCATGTCCTTCTTCACACTAGGCTGGTCCTCAAGGTCCTCGTGAAGAGAGTGAGCAATCTCCAGCTTCCTGTAGTCCTCTGGCTTGACCAGTCGGCGGACCACTTGGAGACAGCGCTCCTTTAAGCTCAAGACTAAGGGACAGAGTATCAGAAAGACAGCCTCAGATTCCTCACCAACCACGCTTACTGAGATCTCCTAATACCCACGGCCGGCACAAAGTCATAATAGCCAGCTGTAAGGTATAAAGGTAAACTGTCAAAACATAACATGCTCACACAACACCCCACAACTCACCTGGCAGCGTGATGTTCACCAAAACCGGAGCATTTACCGGGGCCTTCTGGCAAAACAGTTCCTGCCCGTTAACCATCATTGGCTCGTCTTTCTCCGAATCTCTGAACATCCACAGATGGTCTAAAGCATTAGTTTTAGGAGAGTATTAAAAAGGTTGAGTACCGTCAATACGGAAGTTACCAGTGCCAGCGAACTCACTTTGTTGGCACTGATAAAAGCTTCCACTAGACACTCAAAAATGTGACCAGATAAAGTAATTCAACAAACTGCAGTAAATACATGCCAGAGAGAGCTTACCCACGTAAGTCATCATTCTATGGCCAGTACCAGGCTGCAAAATTTCGTAAAGGACAGATTCCCCCTTAAAACCTATCCATATAGGTTGGACTGAGCGAGGGCTTCGGTTGCAAAATATAACCCGAACTTCTCGGCGGCTGTTCAGCGATCTTAGCGGGAGTATTTCTTGGGCTGTATTTTCGGCTTCCTGCGGCATGTTTTCAAGAAGGAAATGTTACAAACCGTCTCCTCTCTCTATCTCTCTAATGCACTTAACTAACAACAAAAGTTAAGTTGACTAGATGCTCCTAATTCTTTGTTCCCAGTGATAAGTTTCATATACCTAAATACGAGTAACTCAAAAAACTTCGACTTTCCTGTCGTTACGCAACATCGACATTATCACGTCCTCAGAAAACAACATCCGGGGGAAAAAATAACTTCCTGTGTCCGCCACCATGCACACGTGTCACTCACAGACACGCCTCGCGTATTTCTGAACTACATTTCCGAGTTATCGCGATGATTGAGAAAACTACTTTTCCCAATGTTTCCCATAAGGTCACAGTGAGTTTTGGGCATGTCAAAGGTAAAGATGAAGATTCGTAAGTTGATCTAAGGTAGTGTAGATATGAAGTTTTATTCATGGTTCCTGGCATTGTTTTGATATTACATGAAATCTTACTTTTTGCAGTTTATTTTGTAAGATTGCTAATAAATAGATGTAGTTGTTGGCAGCTGCGTAAGTGGTAAACGTGTTAAGTTTGAACCTGCATGGCTAGCTGACTAGGTCATGTACCATAAACACAGCGATTGGTCTTAGCGTAATCACTGTAATGTCTTATGTTTATGCATGTTTTCAGTGATGGGTTTCGTTTCGTGAAACCAGGCATTAGTGCTGCAGTAGCTTTTATGCAAATCATAACCATACAGTGCGTACACGTGGGCGCTGATATTTTTCATTAATTTAACTTCATTTGTTTGTTACCCAGGTAACCGTTTTTATCTACATCAGATGTGGGGACGAATGTTTCTGAGGCCTGTTGGAATTGGTAAAAGTTGTCGAATTTTGGATTACAGAGCACTGTTCACCATGCAACTAAAAACAAAAGAGTTTGAGTCCTTGTTCACGGACGGACTTAACGCCATAGCAGGTATTTATGAGGCATTTATAGTTTCATAATTGGTTTGTGTTCGTTTTAGCTAGCAGTTTAGAGGTGGTGCGTGAAGCATTGTTTTGTGGTTATAAATTATACGTGTTTTAGCGCTTCTGCCCAAATAAAGCTTTTAGCCAAGTGACTGGGCTAACAGGTTTTTTTTTCTTTCTAACCTAGACATCTTTAAAAAGCACCAGTTTGAGCTCCGGATAGCTGGGGGTGCTGTGAGGGACCTCCTTTCTGGGATGCGGCCGGAAGATGTAGACTTTGCTACCACAGCCACCCCTGATGAAATGAAGAGCATGTTCCAGGCAGGGGGGGTCCGGATGATCAACAACAAAGGAGAGAAGCACGGCACCATCACTGCCAGGGTGAGGGCTTAGACAGATGCTGGCTGTCTGGGTTCATGGAGCAGGAGCATCATTCGCTGTCATAAAAGACTTTCCATCTTCACCCAAAACACTTCTTTAAATAACACAAGTATTATCAGCATGCTTTTGGCTGGTTTGGGCAGGCTAGGTGTAAAATTGGCAGTGGAGAGTTTGTCATGTATATCAGATGTTAGAAAAATGTGTCTCTGGCCATACTGCCCCTTGAACGTCACGTTTAATGGGACCCATTTCTGAACGCAGCTCCACAACGAGAACTTTGAAGTGACCACACTACGCGTGGATGTGCAAACAGATGGACGACACGCTGAGGTGGAGTTCACCACGGACTGGCAGAAGGATGCAGAGCGCAGGGATCTTACCATAAACTCCATGTTCCTTGGTACTCCTCCTCTACCGTCGTAGTAGACAAATTATAGAGTAGGAGACGTCCATATCATCACCAGTCATGATAGCTCAACAGCAAGCATTGCCACCTCCCTGCTGTAGGTTGCTGGTTGCAGTCAGACCATGGCTGTGCGTGTGTGGATCTTCTCAGTGTCTCCATGAGTTTTCTCTCTATACTCCTGCTTGTCTCTCACAGCCTACAAATGTGATCTTATATAAGGGGGTCAGCATGAGGCTCAGTGAGCTACATCTCTGTGCCTGTGATTAGACGGTTGCTGGTTCGAGCCCAGCCTCAGCACCTTGAGCAAGGTCTTTGACCCCCAGCTCTCTGGCCACTGCAACAGGTGGCTGCCCTTCATGGCCATGCTTGGAGGAGCCGTAAAGAGAATTTTCCCACTTGGTATTTTCCTACGGCAATAAAGTATCGATGATAATTATAAATATTATTATTATCTTTATCAGAATGGCTGAATAAACCTCAGACTGCAAACTGAGCAGCAGACTGGAGAAGCCCTTGATGAATGTATGAATGGTATGAATGTAAAGATGTAAGTTTCACACCCCCCTTCTTGATTAGGCTTAGATGGGACTTTGTACGATTATTTCAACGGCTATGAGGACCTCCAGAACCGAAAGGTCCGATTCGTGGGCAGTGCAGCTCAGAGGATCCAGGAGGACTACCTACGGATTTTACGCTATTTTAGGTATGTATGGATTCTGCCTGTCCCTTTTCTGTAAGATGGGGTGTTCACCTTTTATTCAGAAGAGACATGCTAGTGCTTGACCTTCACAGGCTTTAATTCTGACATATCTCTGCCCGCAGGTTCTACGGCCGTATTGCTACACAACCTGGGCAGCACGAGTCTGATACGCTCCAGGCTATCAGGGACAATGCCAGTGGACTGGCATCCATCTCCGGAGAACGTATCTGGGTTGAGCTGAAGAAGATGTTGGTGGGAAATCATGCTGCCCACCTGCTAGATCTTATTTATGAGCTAGGCGTGGCCCAGTTCATTGGTAAATGCTGTTCGATTCCATTATAGTACAGTCCAGATATTGCTTTTACTCCTCTTTGTAGCAAACCAATGGCCAAACATTTTTTCTCCTCTTGGGATTGATTTGAGCATTTATGATGTGCTTTAATTGCTAATTTTGTCGCAAATGTCTAACAAATGTCTACATCATGGAGAGATTGAGTTACTTTTAAGTATATGGATGATAGCTCTAACAGAAATATCTGACCTGAAGCCAGACTGAGGAAGGGACTCGTGTTTCCAGGCCTGCCAGAAGGTGGCAACGTGGAGGAGTTGAAGTCTGTGTGGAAAAGGTCCCAAGGCTGGTCACCCAAGCCCATGACCCTCTTGTCTGCACTTTTCTGCCGCTCTGATGGTGTGGACAAGCTGGACCTGAGGCTGAAGATCTCCAAAGAGGAGAAAAACCTGGGCTTCTTCCTGGTGAAGTACAGGCACAAGCTCCTGAAGGCTCAGGATGAACCACAAGCCCTCATTCCCTACACCGACTTCATAATTGATGTGAGAGACATTTTCAGTTTGTTCTGATTGTGTCACTTTTTATGATGGTATCTGATGTTATAGATAAGAAAAGCCAACAGATTAAAATGGCTTCATTTGAGGCATGGTGTGGTGTTTGGGAGGGGGATTCAAATTGCCCTTTAAAATATCTAAAAGATTCTTCTTCTTGAGGCACTCCAAGATTTTTGCAGTTGCTGAAAGGTTGTAGCTACCATTGAGCTTCACTGTGTGTTTTGTGTGTTTTTATTTAATGAATTGTTTTAATGAGCCGTACCAGTCAGAGATGGGTCTAAATTTAAATGCAGCTTACAGAAAGTGGTATCCTTATGACAGAATCCATTGGTTTATGCTTGGACAGACTTCCACAAACAAATAGGCAAAAATGTGAAATCATTGCCTTCCGGAAAACAGTATGGTGCTCCTATTGTGCACTGAACAAACAAAAAAAACAGTATTGATCTAACAAACATTTATTTAAGGGCTTAGAAGTATAGAGAGACATTAGAAGTCGAGGGGATCAATGACCTTGACATTTCATTGTTGTATTTAATAATTTGCCACAAAGCATAATTACTTGCACCTTTCTTTCCCATTGTAGTCCAGGGAGCCAGATGTTCAGCTGAAGGTTTGTGAGCTCTTGAAGTATCAAGGTGAGGGACAGCTGCTGCATGAGATGAAACGATGGACCATCCCTCGCTTCCCCGTTAGTGGGCACGATCTCCGCAAAATAGGCATCACATCGGGCAAGGAGATTGGGACTGTCCTGCAGAACCTGAGAGAAATCTGGAAGAAGAGCCGCTACCAGATGGACAAGGAGGAGCTTCTGAGCCAAGTGGACAGATCATGATGTGGAACTGCGGTTCACAAAAGCAGGTTGTGACCTCCAGGAAGGCTGTGTACTGCTGTGGGAGCTCCATCTGTGCTCCACCTGTCGGCAGGCTGGAGAAGATGGTGAAAGAGCAGATCTGTGACACACAGAGGACCTCACTCTGTGTGGGCTTCCAGAAACCTCACTCTGTGTGGGCTTCCAGAAACCTCACTCTGTGTGGGCTTCCAGAAACCTCACTCTGTGTGGGCTTCCAGAAACCTCACTCTGTGCTCCACTTTCCTTTCCTCCTTCTGTGGTTTCACAGCAGTCCTGTGATCCATTGAGAAGATCTGGGGGGTTCCAAAGAACTCTTTTCATGTCTGCTGCTCCTTATAATTTAACAGGTTTAGGCATCAGGTGGTATTATTATTGTTATTTCAGAAAATTTATTTTTAAGAGGGCACTGTTTTACTTGATCAAATATACTGTCGTCAAAAATGGTACCAGTTTGTACCTTTGCTTTTCACTGTGGCTGTACCCTGCCAATTGTACCCTATAGCTGTAGGTAAATGTACCTTTTAAGGTGCAGAAATGGACTCTGAGGAACATCCCCAAGGTACAAACAATATTAATGTACCCCCAATGGTACAAAAATGATCCTTATAGTCCATTTCTGTATCTTAAAAGGTACACTTACCCTTGTGGGTACAGCCCGTGACAAGCAAAGGTACAAATTGGTACCCTTTTTTGTTAAACCATACTATGACAGATTAATGGAAAGTATGACTTTAATATAAAATCATTAGCTGTCTTTTTGTGTTCAGTTTTTTTATATCCAAAAGTTCATGCATTTTCATTTTTTCAGTAGCTATTTATCCTGTGCATACCCCTTTCCCAGGAAGCACCTAAGATCTGACGTCATTCTATTGCCCTATATAATTAAACACACAGAGACATGGATAACTTCCTAGGGAAATGTACTCAGCAGTTCATCTGAACCATAGTCGTTGGACTGAGAAAATTTGAGCAGAAGGAGAACAGTGCAAGCTCCATGCACACACACATTCATGGTCAGAGGGGTGTGAGTCTACCTTGTTTTCTGTATTTTGAAACCTGTATTACTTAAAGTAATACGTTGAGTTTCTCAGAAGGAGTCTTATCATGAACACAGTGCTCTGTTAAAGAAGCCATCACAGATCAGGCTTATCTTTCCAGAAAGGTTCGTAACGCTAAGTAGTTCGTTATCTAGAACTTAAGATAGATCGTACATTTGCACGCATTTCTAGAAACCCTTCGTAACTAAAGTAGTTCGTTATCTCGTGCTCCGTCGTTCTTTATTTGAACTTTTGCTTGCAGCCCTGTTACAGGGATATAGATATCGGCCAAAATAGACGGCGCATTTTGGACATCATCATAATGCTGATAAGAGGTCAATATTGCAATATAAAACTATAACGTCGACTATAAATTAAACGAGCAAATGGGCTCGTTGCTGTGTGCCATTTGAGTGCATAGCAAGGATGTGCACCACTCAGAACTGACTTGAGAATTACCTTAAAATCAAATTAATTTCATGAATCGGTTAAGAACTTAAGTTGCAGAATCGCAATTCGACTTTCAATATAAGGAAGTAGAATTCAAATGGAATTGATTTCATATAAATACATATACATAGTGTAAGCGCAGCTTTAACCATACAGTTAAATATTTCATTTATATGAATTACCGAGCATGATAACATAAACTGCATACACTAATCCCGCCTCAATCCCCCACGTGATCACGGATGATTGCGGCGGCAAAAAGTACCCGTTGACCGTGCCCGTTTGAACACCTGCCTGAAAAGTCTGTGCGTGTCACTGTTATTCATAATAAATGTCACATTTGAAGTGTCACAACATTTTTTAAAATATGCAAAAAGAAAATGTGTATGCACATGGAAAAGTACTTAGAGGACTAACATAAACCCAATGCATATTGTTAAAACAGCTAAAACAATTACGCAATTATTTTACAATCATGTAAAGTTCACTTACTAGTACATATATAAGGTCAATATACCGCGGGTTGGAAGTAGTTCTGTTATGTAATTATTTGTTTTGCTAGATGAAATGACATTCATATGTTGTATGATTGCATTAAATTGAAATGAATTAAATTCTCACATTCCAATTCAACATCTTACAGGGTTGTGGTCAATTCAAAATCCAATTCATAAATTCTGAACAACCCTGGAAAGCTACATAATGAACTAACCAATCAAACTTGCTATGTGTTCAGTCAGATCTTTTGAACTGGGAAAGTGAATCTGGTGTTAATTTGATAAAATCCAACTAAAAGAATGAAGTGCTTATGGAAATGTTAACATAATGGTATCATTAGGAATAGGGGTTGCCCTATATTTGCTGGCGTAATTGGCTATATCCCGTTTAGACAAAACACTACAATAAATATTTTTGAAGAATATTTCGATTTATTTAGTTGGGTTATTCACTGAGGTATTCTGCTTTTAGAGCTACACATATTTTGAGCTTTATGTTCTTATAAAGCTACGGAAGTAGACTCGGAGATTAGTCCAGTGACACATATGTAATGACTTTGTAATGCATTAAAAACATTTCAACTTGCTAACCTTAAAGTTATTTACCAATCAATCTAGTATATATAATAGTAATAAGGGATTTCTGTATGTAGCCCCACATTGCAATGAGAACAATTTTGGCGGCGTTTTTTGTCCCCCTGCTCTTGAAATTCTTTCCGTTTTTTCTACCCCCCC